TCCTTGCTGCACTTAGCCCCTGTAAATCGTATGTACTCATACCCGCCGTGAGTCTTTCAGTCTATCCGTGGAGGGAAAACCTATCTGCTGATACACTGACACACCATTGCACTGCAATGTGGCCCAGGTTGGAATTCAACCATTTGTTGCATGCAACCTTGACCTCAACTTCACCACGGTGCGACTTCGTGCTGAGACAGAATGGCCCAACTCTGCAGACAACTTCATAGCTGATGCGACCTGCCCAACACTTCTGGCATGGGGGTAGTGAAACCCATGCTGGGTATGTGAACCGTCCGATTAGCCACGGCGCCTCGAACCACCCGCTGGTAGAAGCCCTGCCTGGCGTTCTCTTGGCGGCCTCCAGCCTCCAAAAGGATGCCAAGTGGAGAGTCAACAGCTTCTACAGACCTGATAGAAAACCCCGGTCCTGCAAAGTTGTGCGCTGTCGCTTCTTCGCAAGCTGGCTTCCAGAAGGAGGCTGGGTTGAGAGACACCAGGGCCCGCTCGAATCTCGCAGCACAAATGGCATTGAACTTTACTCCCTGTTTTTGCCAGCACGCTGAAGCAGGACCTGAGCCTCTATGATCCATTCGGGCCGGACCACGGTTTCCTGCCGGCAATCTCCCCTGACAGTGAAATTTGTACTTCTTGCCACCATCCACAGATTCAAGTCGTCTGCGTCTGACGCCAAAATCATGTGTTGCTCAGGCTCTACATGTCTCTGTGTGCTGTTTCACAACACGGCGCCTCACCGTTGCACGCCTGCGAAAAGGCTGCATATGCGTGCCTCACTGAAGCACGTACAGATGTCTTTCTACCAGCATTCCAGGTAGCTGTTTGAAAGTGGCCGTCTATCAAGGCCCGTCCGCAGGTGCATTCAGCCAGGATGCCAGCCCTGACTTTTGCCCTTCTGTTGCACGCTGCAGCTTAGAGCTAGCAGACACTGCTCCAGCTTCTGGCGCTGCACCTGCGAGGGGGCGAGAGAACCACGACAAGAAAAGTATTGCCTAGCATGAAAGCCAGCACTTGTCGTAGCAAGTAAACCACGTTTGGCACCCGCAGAGCCAAGTGGAGCCCACAAAAGTGGCAGCAAAATGCCATCCATATTATCGAGGGCGACTCGGACCGACCCCTGCCTGTGTCAGCCGTGACAGGACCTGCCGTCGCTGCTCGCGACCAAGGCGACCCAGCAGCCCACGGAGCCTGGCCCAGAACGTGGCTTGGTCGAACAGCAGGGAAAAAATGCAGATTGCGTCCTCTCTTCCAAGCTCCGTCCAGTCAATCGCAGGTCCGGCTGCTGCAGAACCTGAGTCCCACTCGTGCCCAGGAACAATCTGCAAGCAGAGTGCGGCGTGCGCCCCATAAGCTGAATATGCTCAGCACGTTTCAACGTCATAAGGCTGAAATTTTCTAGTTTGCTTCCGAAACATTCACCAGCCAGCTGTTTCTAGGTCCGCACAAGAGTCTGCTCGGTACATATGGCTTGTGATCAAGGCAATCATCAGTCAACATTTGGCCATGGTCAGACTGAAGCAAGTGATGCCATAGATACCTTCCGCAGGGCCTACGGCCAATTCAACCAATGCACATGCAAGGCAATGACGAAAACTGAGGTCCATGCTGGATTTTGGAAGCTTGGCACTTTCTCGTAGCCTGCGTGTATCTCCGTGTCCGACATGTAGACCGGCGGTCTTCCATGCACGGACTTCTTTCAAAGCAGACAAGCGTCTAGCCGTGGATGGATCTTGTGGCTGCGCACAAGCCATCTCCGACAGGTCCAGCTGATCGATGAAGTGCCCCCCAATGACGCATTAGACGACGACTGAAACACTAACCTCGTCTTTCGCAGGAGCCAATCCTGTTCACACAGCCTGCTACATCCTGCTACACGCCATGCGTGCTTGCCACCTCTACAGACATGAGTTGGTTCATGTGTGAAAGACTCCGTGCGGCCAAGACACAACAACAGGGTCAACCCCAACACCAACCTTAGAGCTGTTAGGGTCGGAGCGGATAAATCCAAGTCGCCTACTTTGTCAGCATTGATGTGCGCGGGTGGCATGTGCCAAGCGGTGGGCACAAAGCAGCTGCGTATGCTCTCACAAACTACACCTACGACTTAACAGACACCAGTACACACTGAGGAGGTGGCAGGAACACGGATCTCGAAGTGGTGGCGCACATCTCCAAGCTTTGGCAGTCCTTTAAGAACCAGCCACAGGTCAGAGGCAGCAACTGCAAGTGCAGCTTGACAAGGTAGCATCCTGGCCTGTGTTGTTTGCAAGGATGTCTGCAATAAGAGCCATGGTGGACAATCTTAGCAAGTACCTTGGCATGCCGGAAAGAAATCTGCATGTTCCTCAGAACCCTCCATGAGTGAGGGCCTGATATCAGACATAGGCCCAAAGGATTTCCTGGGCGCCCCCATCCCCAAGTACCATCTGGCCTTCTCTCCCTGAAGAAAACTGCAATGTATTGAGGGGGTGGGTGCTGTGCTCGGGATTTGTACTTTTGTTGTAGTAGCATTTAAAAAGAAGTGAATTCAAATGCGATCGTTACATCATTAGCGGTATGTCCGTGTGCGCGAGCAAGTCCGGAAACGGGCGTGACATTTCTGCGACAATCAATCATCTAGTTGCCAGGAATGAAATTAGCAATTTCGCGGTGTTTTGGACAGAGACATTGAAACATGGTGTGGACTCCATGCGGGGGCACAAGAAGAAGATCACAGAAGGCGCACAGATGCGCTGGATGTGCGGCTTCCGGCCACCGATTGGATACCTACAACAGTGAGGCTGCCAAGGCAATCAGTGCTTTACGCAGCAAGTTGGTGACCTTTTTGAAACAGAGGGCACTGCAGGCAGACCGGTCCTCACCCAGACGGCTCTCACCGGCTTTGGTTTAGAGCTGCGCTCTGTTAGAGCAGAGAGCGGCTGTAGGTGATCCAAGGGCTGCTTGGCGTACGTTCTTGGAGTATGGAGCAGTCAAGCGGCCTGTGGCATGTCCTCATTGCCACGCAAACTCTCTGGCAGAAAGCAGGAGCTTGAAATTTCTTCGGGGCAGGAATTTTTGCTTAAACGGGTTATCCTAGGATAGCCCCATAAGTCCAAGGTTCGCGCGGAAAGTCCGAGGGCATGAAGATGTGAGGGCGAGAGGAGTTCTGATTAGAAATTTGAGTTGCCCCATTAGTCCAAGGCGCCCCTGTAGCCTGAGCTCGTGAGGAGTTGGGATTTTGATTTCATCCACACCATGAATTCAAAGTTGGCCTAAAACCACCACAAAGTCTGTGCGAAGTAGAGAAAACCCCCACCGTCAAAAGGTAACAGGTAACAGTCCCTAAGTAGAAGTAGAAGCAGTAAGTAGAGATCAGAGTAGCAGAAGAAGAAACAATAATAGTAATAGTGTTAGTCAGGAATTACTGTTGTTGGGGTATTTGCTGTTGGTTCGGCTTCTTCTTGTTGTTGTGATGGTAGTGGTAGTGGTAGTGGTAGTGGTAGTGGTAGTGGTAGTGGTAGTAGTAGTAGTAGTAGTAGTAGCAGCAGTAGCAGCAGTAGCAGCAGTAGCAGCAGTAGTAGCAGCAGTAGCAGCAACAGCAGTAGTAGTACAGCCAAAGCACTACTTCTGAAAACATTGGATGAAGAAAATGAAAGTGTGGACTCGACTCGGAAACCTTCACGCACAAAGCCACATGCTGCTAAAACAAGAAAACGAGACCTCCCCATCCCAAACCCCAGATTTTCTCACTGGCCTTAGAGGGCCTGGGAGGCCTTGGCAGGCCCAGGCTCCCAGACCTCAAGCCTCTTCTGTCACATACTACTACAATGACATTGCTGTACTTGTGAATCCCTGCCCCTTAGAATAACCCTCTCACTGTCCTATTAAAAATATGCCCTATAGGACTACATATATGCTTTGGTTGTTAGTTGCTATTTTATAGAAGGAGAAACTGAAAAATGGGAAAACACATGAAAACACCCTTGAGTATGGATCGGGACCTTAGAGGGCTC